CCAAGGTCCAAAAAAAAAAAAAAAAAAAGTCTAAACAGACCTGCTGTGCTTCTTCAGTGATGATTCTCAGGCATTAGACGCACTTGTGCTGGAAACAATGACGTAATGCAGCATGTTGTTGCCAAAGCGAGTCTATACGTTGGATTTGGGGGCAGAATTGAGGGGGATTTCTCTGAGTTCTATCCTCATGCAGAGGTACTCCCCGATGGCAGCCATCAGTGCGGTGCACACGATGTGCACCAGCCACCACGTCAGGGTCGAGGGAAAGTGCGAGTTATAAATCCAGCAGCCCAGAAGATGGAAGAAGTGAACTGTGACGGTGAAATCCAGGCACTGCTTTCCTCGGCGGATGAAGTACAGCAAGCCCAGAGCACTGCAAAATAAAGGCAGAGATTAAAAACAAACTGCTCCGTGCCTATGGAAAAGGAGATAGAGCAAGAGCTATCAGCAGTTGTTGGTGCTGGTTATTCAATTGTTTTAAAACTTCTTGAATGTTCTAAGGATAGGTTGTTTCTGACCTCTCTCCCGGCTGCTGCAGCAAGACTTACATGCTTATAGCTTTTTAATTTACGATGGCAGAGAAATGAGCTTTTAGTGCAGAGAGCCAGGCAGGAATTTTTAAACTATCTCCCCCAGTAATCTTTGCCCAGTGGCAGGGGCAAAATACATTCTTGTTTATAGATCAGTGTTTGCTGAGATCCATTAATTCTAACTTTCAGTAAAATCTCTCACAAAAGCAAATCTCATTCCCAGCTGGGAAACTGAGGCAGTGAAGTGAAATGACTTATCCACGATCTAGCAAGTCAGGAGTCAGCAGTTCCCAACAGCAGACATGCTCAACACACAGGGCTTTGGGGAGATGTTTTGAGAGAGGCAATAGGTCACGCTGAATTCTCTTAAGGTTTAATGTTAAGAAAGAACAAGATAGAGGGGCTCCAGCTGGTTGCTGACTTACCAGGTGAGTGCATTGAGGATGAAAGCCATCATGGAGAGCCTCCCAGGCGGGGTTGAGAAGCCTAAAATCTACACGGGACTATTAGTAGGAAACCACGGCACAAATCACAGCCCACAGCGCGTAATCTCATCCCAGGGCCCAGCCGCATCGGCACTGCCCTGCGCTGATTATGATCCGTAAGAGGAGCCTGAGCAGCTACGGCAGTCCTTGTAAGAGGCCTGTCTCTCTGCCTGGGGGTACCTACAGAAAAGGGCAAGTCTGTTTCTATAGTGCGGGCTACCACCTAAACAGGGTGTGTGTCCCCACAGAGGGGTTACCTATGGGGGAGGGCAGTTGTCTTTATACTGGGGGCACATATACAGGGTGTCTGTGTCTATACTGGGGGTGGCACCTACGCAGCAAGGTGCTGTGTCTATACCGGGAGTACCGCCTACTCAAAGGGAGGGGTCTGCCTCCATACTGGGGGCACCTACAGGGACAGCAGGTCTGTCTTTATACTGGGGGGCAGCTACACGGCGGGAGGGCTCCGTCTCTATAGCGGGGTGCTACCTATGGCGGGGAGCTGTCTCGAATACCGGGAAATGCCTACACGGGGAGCGGGACCTGCCTCCCCGCATGGGAGCTCCCGAGCAAGGACCCCCGCCACAGGGGCCTGTGCCCACGGCGGCGCCCCGGGGGCCCCGCGCCCTCACCTCGTCGCTGAAGACCTGGTGGAGGGAGGGCCCGGTCCTGCCCAGGGTGCCGAGGACGGCGAGCCAGAGCCCGAGCGAGCTGTAGTAGCCCGCCTGCAGCAGCACCATCTGCGCCACGATCAGCGCCGGGTCCCACACGTAGCTGCGGAACG